AGGATGAACGAGAACGGGCAACGTCTGCAAGAACTCTGCTGCCTTCATAGTCTCTCTGTCACCAACACGTTCTTCAACACAAACCCTCAACACCGAATCTCTTGGAGACACCCCAGATCCACTGACCTCCCCCCACGACGCCCTGACCTCCCCCACGACGCCCTGACCTCCCCCACGACGCCCTGACCTCCACCCACGACGCCCTGACCTCCCCCCACGACGCCCTGACCTCCACCCACGACGCTGTTTACTCGCCTAGATGTGCTTGCGGGGGTTGAGCTCAGGCTCTTTGTTCCCGACTCTCAACTGTCAATCAACTGGTGTACAGGTTCCTACTCCAGAGGTTGGCCGCTCTCTTTAGGCTCTGAGACTTCACTTCTATAGATCTCGTAACTATTTACGAGATCACTTCTATAGATCACTATATATATTCACTACTATAGATCTTCTATAGACGTCGTAATTTTAAACTGAAATTAGGAGCAGAGAGTCAGAATTCGGCTCAAAAATCACGCTCAGGAGTCAAATTTCCGACATTTCAGACATTTTGAAAACTGCAGGGGGGTTTGGGCAAAATATGCCCCATCGCCGTTTTCAGTAATTGGCATATTTTCGGTATGAAACTTCGTAATTTGAAACTGAAAATAGGTGCAGTGAGTCAGAATTCGGATAAAAAATCACGCTCAGGAGTCAAATTTCCTACATTTCAGAAATTTTGAAAACTGCAGGGGGGTTTGGGCAAAATATGACCCATCGCTGTTTTCAGTAAATGGCATATTTTCGGTAGGAAACGTCGTAATTTGAAACTGAAAATAGGTGCAGAGAGTCAGAATTCGGCTCAAAAATCACGCTCAGGACTCAAATTCCCGACATTTCAGACATTTTGAAAACTGTAGGGGGGTTTGGGCAAAATATGACCCATCGCTGTTTTCAGTAATTGGCATATTTTCGGTATGAAACGTCGTAATTTGAAACTGAAAATAGGTGCAGAGAGTCAGAATTCGGCTCAAAAATCACGCTCAGGAGTTAAATTTCCGACATTTTAGACATTTTGAAAACTGCAGGGGGGTTTGGGCAAAATATGACCCATCGCCGTTTTTAGTAATTGGCATATTTTCGGTATGAAACTTCGTAATTTGAAACTGAAAATAGGTGCAGAGAATCAGAATTCGGCTCAAAAATCACGCTCAGGAGTCAAATTTCCGACATTTCAGACATTTTGAAAACTGCAGGGGGGTTTGGGCAAAATATGACCCATCGCCGTTTTCAGTAATTGGCATATTTTCGGAATAAAAAGTCGTAATTTGACACTTAAAATAGGTGCAGAGAGTCAGAATTCGGATAAAAAATCACGCTCAGGAGTCAAATTTCCGACATTTCAGACATTTTGAAAACTGCAGGGGGGTTTGGGCAAAATATGACCCATCGCCGTTTACAGTAATTGGCATATTTTCGGTATGAAACGTCGTAATTTGAAACTGAAAATAGGTGCAGAGAGTCAGAATTCGACTCAAAAATCACGCTCAGGAGTCAAATTTCCGACATTTCAGACATTTTGAAAACTGCAGGGGGGTTTGGGCAAAATATGACCAATCGCCGTTTTCAGTAATTGGCATATTTTCGGTATAAAAGGTCGTAATTTGAAACTGAAAATAGGTGCAGAAAGTCATAATTCGGCTAAAAAATCACGCTCAGGAGTCAAATTTCCGACATTTCAGACATTTTGAAAACTGCAGGGGTGTCGGAAAATCCGACACCATTTAATATATCATACAGACAGATAATATTTGCTGCTGTATTACCAACAAGTTAACCATAGAAAACGTAACTTGTAGTGGAATTACCGTCTATAGAAAACGGGATATCATCACCACATACTATTATAATTCACCACCTATTATGGTGGGAATTATTCTTAAATACATTACTCTTTGGACTTTACCATCATAAAAACATCTTATATAAATTAACTTAATTATCAATATTAAAGTAGAGTAAATGTGACCCTTCTATCACTTTCTGAAATCTGGACAAAGTAGGCCAGGCATCAGAGGGAGGAAGGAGGGCAGCCATTGTTGTGTCACCTCCGAGACGTGTGGAGCAAATTTGGCTCCTATCATATCTGGACAATGTCGGCCAGGCGTCAATAGTATGGAGTGTTAGATGCAGCCATTGTTTATACTAGACCAGAGGCTCACTGGAGCAAATGCGGCTCCTGTTAATTTTACTTGGACGTAGTGTTATGGAAACTAAAAGTGTACCATTATCAACACGCTGTCTACAAATTCAAGTTAAGTGTCTATCCGAAACCCGTTTATCATTCATTTATGGCCATTAATGTCAGGATATAGGGTGAACCGGTTAGATCACGAAATCGCCTCAAACTAAAGGTAATTAAGCCAGGTCTTCAATGTTCCATGTACAGTATTTTCTCTGATATAGCTTGTCATATATAGGTATCTGGCTTTACAGCTAGCGCCCTTTTGACAGGTCAAGACGAGGAAGCAAGATTTTGTGCACCAGTTACTGGGGGATGGATGTTGTCTACACCCTAGTTATACCTGGTGGACTAACCTGCTGTACTATAAGATAAGGAACCTCTTCAATGTATGTAGTTAATTCTGTAGTTTGATTGGCTGCATATATATTAATTTAATAACCCCCCCTAATGTGTAGAGGATCGATTTGTGAGATTGAGATTATTGCAGAAATACAGTCCACTTATCATTATACAAATTGCTATCGAAGTATATAAATTAACGTAAATATAAATTCATATAAATTAAACAAATATAAATCTCACAGGTCGGTTCCCACAAGGGGGGTTTGGGCAAAATATGACCCATCGCCGTTTTCAGTAATTGGCATATTTTCGGTATGAAACGTCGTAATTTGAAACTGAAAATAGGTGCAGAGAGTCAGAATTCGGCTCAAAAATCACGCTCAGGAGTCAAATTTCCGACATTTCAGACATTTTGAAAACTGCAGTGGGGTTTGGGCAAAATATGACCCATCGCCGTTTTCAGTAATTGGCATATTTTCGGAATAAAAAGTCGTAATTTGAAACTTAAAATAGGTGCAGAGAGTCAGAATTCGGATCAAAAATCATGCTCAGGAGTCAAATTTCCGGCATTTCAGACATTTTGAAAACTGCAGGGGGGTTTGGGCAAAATATGACCCATCGCCGTTTTCAGTAATTGGCATATTTTCGGTATGAAACGTCGTAATTTGAAACTGAAAATAGGTGCAGAGAATCAGAATTCGGCTCAAAAATCACGCTCAGGAGTCAAATTTCCGACATTTCAGACATTTTGAAAATTGCAGGGGGGTTTGGGCAAAATATGACCCATCACTGTTTTCAGTAATTGGTATATTTTCGGTATGAAACGTCGTAATTTTAAACTGAAAATAGGTGCAGAGAGTCAGAATTCGGCTCAAAAATCACGCTCAGGAGTCAAATTTCCGAGATTTCAGACATTTTGAAAACTGCAGGGGGGTTTGGGCAAAATATGACCCATCGCCGTTTTCAGTAATTGGCATATTTTCGGTATAAAAAGTCGTAATTTGAAACTGAAAATAGGTGCAGAGAGTCAGAATTTGGATAAAAAATCACGCTCAGGAGTCAAATTTCCGACATTTCAGACATTTTGAAAACTGCAGGGGGGTTTGGGCAAAATATGACCCATCGCCGTTTTCAGAAATTGGCATATTTTCGGTATGAAACGTCGTAATTTGAAACTGAAAATAGGTGCAGAGAGTCAGAATTCGGCTCAAAAATCACGCTCAGGAGTCAAATTTCCGACATTTCAGACATTTTGAAAACTGCAGTGGGGTTTGGGCAAAATATGACCCATCGCCGTTTTCAGTAATTGGCATATTTTCGGAATAAAAAGTCGTAATTTGAAACTGAAAATAGGTGCAGAGAGTCAGAATTCGGCTCAAAAATCACGCTCAGGAGTCAAATTTCCGACATTTCAGACATTTTGAAAACTGCAGGGGGTTTGGGCAAAATATGACCCATCGCCGTTTTCAGTAATTGGCATATTTTCGGTATGAAACGTCGTAATTTGAAACTGAAAATAGGTGCTGAGAGTCAGAATTCGGCTCAAAAATCACGCTCAGGAGTCAAATTTCCAACATTTCAGACATTTTGAAAACTGCAGGGGTGTTTGGGCAAAATATGACCCATCGCCGTTTTCAGTAATTGGCATATTTTCGGTATGAAACGTCGTAATTTGAAACTGAAAATAGGTGCTGAGAGTCAGAATTCGGCTCAAAAATCACGCTCAGGAGTCAAATTTCCAACATTTCAGACATTTTGAAAACTGCAGGGGTGTTTGGGCAAAATATGACCCAAATGCCGTTTTCAGTGATTGGCATTTAACTTTCTGTAACTGTTTCAAAATTGAATAAAATCCAGTGAAGGTGACTTACAATGTTAAGGTCTGTCATTCACTCTTGCCTGTTTGTACACACAAGCTCTCAGTTATGACGCTCGGCCAGATAAAGCCACTCTTCATGGTAGTGGACTTTTTTTAAAAGGAAAACATTAAATTTCTAGCTTTATGGCAAGTTATATGCAAATAATGTTCATAACAAAAATTGTAAAGAATGTTAAGGCAAAAATTTTGTATTTGAAACATTTCTTGATAACATGGATAGTTTCCGAGGTCACTGTAAATGTTTTTTTTCGACTGACATTTTCCAAGATGGCGGCAGTAGCACAATTTAATTTTGGGGGGACGTTTAATATGTAAATCAGATGAGCAAACACCATATCGATTTCAATGGTCTTGCTTGTAGGAGTACTCTTTAACCTAGCTTTCAGAAACAATTGCTCTTATAATCCTTCTATTCTTTTTACAACCAACAACTACACAGATCTTCATGCTACTATCCCATCAGAGCCAATACCTTGCCTTGCACCTAAGGCTCCATCCCCTTCAGGCTGCCAGCATCCTCTGGGTCACCCACACCTTTACTCAGCCATGCAGAAGACCATGGCGTCATCAGGCAGGCCGGATGGGGCTACGTCACTCTCATCAAATACTCACCAGCGACCGTAAGCCACGCACTCCTTCAACACATCTCTCCTCGTCTGAAGATCCTCCTCACTGACAACACAGTTGAAGACTTACTCTCAGCAGCGCGCGACTCCGGTAACATGAATACTTGAGCGGGAAAATACTGGCCGCTCATTGGCTGGCGCGGTTGCTACGCCGGCCACAACTCCCCGGGAACTGAGGCAGCCAATCACAGGCCACGGGTGCGCTTTTGAAGCATTCAACCGACACGTACGACCCAGGACCCTGGCATCCGCGTTTTACCATTAAATCAGAATCATCACTGAGGCACGTGGTGGGGGTGGAGGTGAAGGTCACGGAGCTCAGAGGTCAACTGTTGTACGAGGGTTGCCAGCGTGGGCCACCAGTCATGACTTTCTTATCGACTCACATCCGTGCTGAAAGACGCCTTACTTTCTTCACCCTCTACAGGATGTTCAAATCCGTCGTCTCACCTACGCCTGCCACCCTCAGGAAGGTCGTGAGCCGAAGGTGTCAAGACTGGGGGTGTGCGCGTGTGCTCATCGCCTTCAAGGGGCAAGAGAGGCCGATTGGCCAGTAATTACAGTAACGCTCTGTTGTTCTTTAGTAAAAACACTGCACATATACAATAATCGAAAATACACATTTGCTCAATACTCTATTAGCTACTTATCTGATCAGTACCATCTAAATATGTAATAAAATAACCCAGTGAATCTTGTAAATAAATAAAATACAATTAATAAAGGAATATTCCCAACACATTAACCCAAACAAATCGGAATTATTTAAGAGGCTACAATAATATATTACATACAACTATGGGTGAATACAACCCATCAGCCAAACAATGGGCTGTGAGGTTCACAACTTATTAGTCAAGTACTCAAAAGAGTCCCACTCTTGATACTCCCCCAAGACTACCAAAGAGTCCCACTCTTGATACTCCCCCAAGACCACCAAAGAGTCCCACTCTTGATACTCCCCCAAGACTACCAAAGAGTCCCACTCTTGATACTCCCCCAAGACTACCAAAGAGTCCCACTCTTGATACTCCCCCAAGACTACCAAAGAGTCCCACTCTTGATACTCCCCCAAGACCACCAAAGAGTCCCACTCTTGATACTCCCCCAAGACCACCAAAGAGTCCCACTCTTGATACTCCCCCAAGACCACCAAAGACTCCCACTCTTGATACTCCCCCAAGACTACCAAAGAGTCCCACTCTTGATACTCCCCCAAGACCACCAAAGAGTCCCACTCTTGATACTCCCCCAAGACCACCAAAGAGTCCCACTCTTGATACTCCCCCAAGACCACCAAAGAGTCCCACTCTTGATACTCCCCCAAGACCACCAAAGAGTCCCACTCTTGATTCTCCCCCAAGACCACCAAAGTTCTCCACCAGTCAGTATGTGACTTACTGTAACAGTCCACATGGCTGTGGTCGAGGCTGTGACTCGACACCTGGTTCCTTCACCTCCAGCCTCTAGTGTAAACACTCCTTAAATCCAGTCCGTCCTCACACAGCAGCCCGTCCTCACACAGCAGCCCGTCCTCACACAGCAGCCCGTCCTCACACAGCAGTCCGTCCTCACACAGCAGCCCGTCCTCACACAGCAGCCCGTCCTCACACAGCAGTCCGTCCTCCAAACAAAGACCCAATAGTGATTCCATGCACCCGCCAGCCCCCTTGGTGTTTATGAATGAAAAGCGGTTTACACACGACTCACAACTGCTGACGTTCGAACATATCCGGAACAAGTGCTTCACTGACGAATTTTGTTCGAATCACAACGCTATAAATGCTTCATCCACGTACTACAAATACAAATAATCGCCAACAGAACCTAAACACCTAACCTAACCCATGCCTATTTATATACAAAATGCTAATATAATATTGATTTAAATTTTGAGAAAATTACAGCTTTGAATGAACAGCATGTTAAAATTTATGAATGCGTTTGTGGGGTCCACCACTGGATGGAATGGACTAGAGTCAAGAACGGGTTGCTAAATCACCGTAACCAAAACACCTTACTGCACCTAACCTAGATCTAACTATACGTACCCACACAATATATAACATTAATTTACATTTCAGAAAATATTATTATTACCCTGTAGGGAAGCGTCAGCCTATCAATTTATCTAAGTAAAAAAACTGTAACCCTTAGTACACACTGTTGCCAGAGGTCACCACTACACCATGTCTCTACATAATGGTGATCCTGGTGAAGATAACGTATATTTATCAATTTGTGAAGCTGTTATCGACAGACTCGGCGATATACCAACTTAACTCGTAAGGCGGTGAACGTCACGCGGCAAGTTCCCAGGCTAACAAGGTAGCTAAAATGACGTCTCTCTCTCTCTCTCTCTCTCTCCTCTCCTCTCCTCTCTCTGTGCGTATATAACAGCTGACAGTTAATACCCAGTTATCGACAGGTCTCTGACCTTTCAGCCGTTAGTAAAATATTTACAAAAGTTGTTCACAATAGACTTGTTGATCACTTGGATGCCCACAAGAGAGAGTCACGTGACAAATACGATTTTCGAAAACTAATAAAACCAGAAACAGTAAAAATATAACTTTGCAAAGATATTTAGAATGGTTTTGATCAAAACAAAATTAGAAGTTTCATTCGTGACAATTAGTACAGATAGAAGTTAATTTGTGGAATGTCTGGGAACGTTACCAAGTTGTTATTGAATGAGTTGCGCTCTAGCTGCCGTGGGGTGCAGACGTGTCGTCTGGCCTCTCCGGTAGTTGGAGTGTTTGCCTCTTTCGTCGACAGGGGGAGTGGGTGTCTCTACCATCCCTGCTGTTCCTGGCTGGTGTGAACAGCAGGGGGGGTGAGGTCGGACATTCCATCCTCTGTCCGGCTTTTAGGGTACTACATACGGGTGTACTATGCACGGGAACCGCGGATGTATTTTCGTTGTAGCCTGTTGAGCCATCAGACTGCCGGGTGCACTGAGGCTGCGGCTGCTCCCGTGAACATGTTCATGGAAGAGGATTTCTCGCCGCTCCCTCTGGAGGATGACTCCAGGGGTGAGGAGGTGAGTGTCCCGTTGGATGCTGCGGCTGCCCCTGCTTCGCCTGTCCTTCCTTCGGTTGTTGAGGACCCTCCTCCGGGTGTTGCTGTGCCGTCGGATGTTCTTCCTGATCCCGTCGCTGTCCCCGCTGCTCCCGATGGCCTTACGGGCAATCTCTGCGTCGTCGGCGCTCTCCTCTTCCTCGTCTTCTGCGCCTGCCCCTGCGCCCTCGCCTTGTGTTCCGTCTGTGATGGGTGCTAGGGTGGCGGTGCCGCCTCCTGCTGTGCGCGGTCCAGTTCCACCTGTGGTTGAGGCTGCTGCTGTTCTGCGTCGGGCGGCGGTTCGTCCGGCTGATGGTGCCCGTGTTTCTGGATCCGCATCCAGCTCGGATGATGTCCGCCGGAGCCCAAACGTTCCCGGCTTTCGTCTTCTGCCTGGGGTGATGTTGGTGACTTCAGTGACTGTAGGTCTTCGGTTGTTAACGTGGATCCGGATGCATCGATGTCTATGCAGTTAGTGGTGGCGGAGGTTCATGTGCCTGCTGGTGCTGGTGCCCGTGTCTCGGACGTGCCTTCTGTTCTTTCTCCACCAGGGGGCTCTCCGCAGTGGGGGGTGGTGGCTTCCGCTGCCAGGGATGGTATGGATAATGGTGCTGGGCACGGCCTGGGGTGACCTTATGGAAGGATACGCGGTTCCCTGCCGTTGTCTGGTGGTGTGCCCGTGGCCGCGGGCGCACCAAGGTTGTTGCCAAGGTTCCGGATGTTATGGCTTCCCCGGTGGATGGCCGAGACCTTTGGCGGTGGTTGCTCTGGGAAGCGGTTCTCGCGGGCCCGGTTCCCGGACAAGTATGTCCACTGATGTCCTGTTTATTTGCATTATGTAGTGCTGTGTGCCCCTCTGGCTGTTTGTTTGCCCTATTGTGTTATGTGCTCGTGCCTCTCCCTTTGTTTGTTGGGAGGCCGGTGGTTTGGTGTGCGTGTTCTTGTTCATGTGTTTGTTTAGTGTTGTTACTATGCCCTGTGTGTCATGTTTATGCCTTACAATGTTGTATTGTTTTTTCCTTTGTTTTTATTTATGGCTTGTTGTATGTTATGATTCTATTGTGTTATATTTCATGTTGTTCTTCATGATGCGCTTTGTTGTCGGTCCTTCCGGCCGGTGCTTCTGTTTATTTGTTTCATATGTTACTCTGTTTTGTTTTCTTGTCCTTATTTGCTAGAAATGTTTGCTTGTTTATATTGTTTTCTATTTTGTGTTATGTTCTTGTCTTGATGTATGCTGTGTTTCTCTTGTGTTTCTCTAGTTTTGCTTTTTGTTGTACTGTGTTGTTGGTCCTTCTGCCTGGTGTTTTTTTTTTTTTTTGGTTTGTTGTTATGTTTCCTATGTTTTATTGTATTTATTGTATTTAACTTGCATGCTTGCATGTAAAAATTTTTTTTTATTGAATACAGTAGGCAGTACCCAGCGTTGGATACTTCACTACACAGTATCTTTATCACTATAATCATGGGAATAATAGGAAATGACATTGCAGACGAAGCTGCAAAACTTGCAACTAAGAGAAGAAATGTAGACATTTACATACCACAGAGTCTATCACAGATTAAGAAAGTAATTAAAAACAGAACAATGCAGAAGATGTACAGTGACCACAACACAGCAGTTGCAACATCAGGATCTGCGGGTTGGCACAAGAATTCACCCAACTACGAACCACTTAGTTTGATGAAATGGAGCAGTAGAACAACAGAAGTACACTTACATCGCATCAGGCTTGGATACCCATGTGCATGGGAAATAGGCTTACAGGTTCCGGAAGATGAGAGGAAATGTCAACACTGTGGAGAAATGCCCGACAGACCACTGGAACATTATCTAACACAGTGCACAGTTACAAACCCATTAAGATTTCAACTTAGATTCAACAGAGCAGAAGTTGTTAAACACATGGGGCAAAATCTTACTGAAGCGACCATACGAGTAATAAATACTCATACTCCGCCCAAGTAAAACAGAAACAAGCAACACTTAGTGGGCCAGCCAGAGGCTTAGGGTCCGCGCAGGAATATCCCTGAAAAAAAAAAATTCCAACTACCCAGGCACCGTCCGGTATCCGTCTACATCCATTATCACTACATTGTCTCCTTCTCTACCTTCCTTACTCCTCATCACCATCGTTACCAATCACCACCTTCCCTACCTGTCACCATCTTCCGCACCCTTCGCTGTGACCACCTTCCCACCACCTTCCCTACCCTTCACCACCTTCCCTACCCTTCACCACCTTCCCTACCCTTCACTGTAACTATCCTCACTACACACTGTCTCAATCAATAAATAAGCTACACAAGACAAACAATCATTTAATCATTGTGGGGGGTCGACCCCGACCCGCTCATAACCATCCCGGACAAAGACCAGTCACCCTGCAAAGTGAGACTAGCCCCAAGCCTCTGGCCTACACCTTCGAACATGCAGACATTATCCTGTGTATGGATGATAGGTCACAATACTCAATTAAGACAATTTTAAATATTAAACATCCTCAGGGAATGTGGAAATTTTAATAGGTGATAATTTATCTTTTAAGAAATTACTCAAAATCCTGAAAACATTTTGCTTTGCAAAGTAAAAAGTAATCTTCATCTTACTTTGCAAAGTAAGAACCACCTGGGCAGGGGAAGAACCACCTGGGCAAGGCAAGCCCCACCTGGGCAAGGCAAGCCCCACCTGGGCAAGGCAAGCACCACCTGGGCAAGGCAAGAACCACCTGGGCAAGGAAAGAACCACCTGGGCAGGGGAAGAACCACCTGGGCAGGGGAAGAACCATCTGAGCAAGGCTAAAACCACCTGGGCAGGGTAAGAACCACCTGGGCAAGGAAAGAACCACCTGGGCACGGGAAGAACCACCTGGGCAGGGGAAGAACCACCTGGGCAAGGCAAGAACCACCTGGGCAAGGCAAGAACCACCTGGACAAGGCAAGAACCACCTGGGCAAGGCAAGAACCACCTGGGCAAGGCAAGAACCACCTGGGCAAGGCAAGAACCACCTGGGCATGGGAAGAACCACCTGGGTAGGGGAAGAACCACCTAGGCAAGGCAAGAACCACCTGGGCAGGGGAAGAACCACCTGGGCAGGGGAAGAACCACCCGGGCAAGTAAAGAACCACCTGGGCAGGGGAAGAACCACCTGGGCAAGGGAAGAACCACCTGGGCAGGGGAAGAACCACCTGGGCAAGGGAAGAACCATCTGGGCAGGGGAAGAACCACCTGGGCAAGGCAAGAACCACCTGGGCAAGGCAAGAACCACCTGGACAAGGCAAGAACCACCTGGGCAAGGCAAGAACCACCTGGGCATGGGAAGAACCACCTGGGTAGGGGAAGAACCACCTGGGCCAGGGAAGAACCACCTGGGCAGGGGAAGAACCACCTGGGCAGGGAAAGAACCACCCGGGCAAGTAAAGAACCACCTGGGCAGGGGAAGAACCACCTGGGCAAGGGAAGAACCACCTGGGCAGGGGAAGAACCACCTGGGCAAGGGAAGAACCATCTGGGCAGGGGAAGAACCACCTGGGCCAGGGAAGAACCACCTGGGCAAGGCAAGCACCACCTGGGCAAGGCAAGCACCACCTGGGCAGGGCAAGAACCACCTGGGCAAGGCAAGCACCACCTGGGCAAGGCAAGCACCACCTGCGTTGTCCCGCAGTGGCTGGAGTCCCTCAGTGTGACGTCACGGTGACGTCACGGGTGGCCCAATCAATGGACGTGTGACGCAGAAACTCATTCTGGAAAGCTTTCCTCGGAACTATGTTTTTTGAATGAGTTCCGTGTGTTTTCCTCAAGCTTCGGGCACCCAACCGGTCCCCGGTAACGCACCTGGAGGGGTAATTAACACCCTGCAGGCCACGCCCCAGCACCCCCGTCCACCTCTGGCAGCCTCCACCCCCCCCCCTCTCCATGTAAACAAAGCAGAACGGAACCCGGATTTAAAACGAGGCGCAACTAATGGTGGTCCTGGAATCCATATGGTGTAGAAGAGGTCTGGAAGGCGGCCCTGGAACACGGAGCGCGAGAGGGGCACTAGGAACACACACATTGAGTACCTGGAACACGATCCTGGACACCACGGAGCGCGGGAAGGGCCTGCAAGGCTGCCCTGAAGCCCACATTGGAGTGGAGGAATCTGGAAGACGTCTTAAAAATTAATCTGGCTACACACCTTCAGACCACCGTCAAGAACACGTTAGATTACATTCCGTTGTACTGACGACGTAGCTGAAGGCGTCGCTGAAGCTCTGGAAGGAGGAGAGCGGGTGAGAGTGCAACACAGCCAGGGAGAGTGGTAAGAAGGGAGAGTGGGGCGGTGAGAGGGACGACGGCCCTCTGGTTATTACTGGGTGGCCAGCCAGGCCCGGACGCCCGTCGGACTAAACACGGGTCACAGGGTTAGTCTTCATTATTCTTCATTGTTATCATTTAAGCTCTTAATGTCATTGTTTTCTTCAGGTATACTTTTACCCCATAACAGCAATACTAACTGAGGCTGTTATGGCTGATCCGTTGACCAGATCTGTCATGAACCAGATCTGTTATGAACCAGATCTGTCATGAACCAGCTCTGTCATGAACCAGATCTGTCATGAACCAGATCTGTCATGAACCAGATCTGTCATGAACCAGATCTGTCATGAACCAGATCTGTCATGAACCAGATCTGCTCAATAGCTGGGTTCACAGCGAAAAAAGCTGTCCACGAGACTCGAGTCCAACGGTTCCATATGACCACAGTGTGACAGTAACTACAGTGTACTAGTAGCCACTTTGAGCTATAGTTAAAGAGTGCTAGAGTCCACTGGGTACTAGTAACCAGTGTGCTAATGACAGCCGTGTGCTTGTGACAAGAGTGTGCTGGTATCCACTGTGTGCTAGTGACAAGAGTGTGCTTTTAAAGTACTGATTAAAAGTACTAGTAGCCACCTTAGTGATCTTGGTTAACGAGGTTAGCTAAGATTACCGAAGAGTCTCACAAGGTGTCCAGGAGTACAAAAAAAGGATCAGGGGGGGCGAGGCTTCCCAAGACCAGTTTAGGGTTAGTGTTGCATGATGAGGAAACATGTAAACAGGTTAAACGAAAAGCTTTAACATGTATTCTGAAGAACAATGCGAATGAGAGAGTAAGAGACTGGCTGCTACAGGAGTATGACGGAATAACGGTGGTGGAACCTGGTGAGATGTCCGCCTGACTCC